AATTCTTCTCAATAACCTTATCAAGCTCTACAGTTATGAGTTCATGATTAGTGTATTCTTTTATAAGGGGCCAAAGTAATATATATATGACGGAATTAGACTGAATGAATTTGATTCCTCCTAATATAAATCTCTGAGTATTGTTAGTTCGAAAACATACTCTTACATTGTGATGAGTTAGGATTCTTCGAATCTCTTTTAAAAGTCCATTATGATATTAGATCACAGCAGTGTTAACGCATTCTTTTTGTCTATAGTTTTCATTGTCATCTTGGATTTGTTTCTTAATCATTCCTTTAACAAAATGCTTGGAATTATTATTTATCATCAAAGTGGATGTAATTTGATTCATTTCAATTCCTTTGTCACTTGGTTCGGTGACAATTTTTAGAACTCCCTTTCATCAAAACCCTTAACAACTTTCACTTTGGTGGAATGGGAATGTGCTGATCTACGGTCCAAATATTGTCCAGAATAGGCTGGGTTTCAAAGTATAATAGTTTTCAAATAGTTATTACTTATCTTTTCAACTTAGCAGTCCAGAAAAGGATTCCAACCCTTAGTGAAAAGGATTTTTTCAGACTTACTGTTGACTTTCATCCAATCCATTTCTTTTTAAAATGGCAAAAGTGTCATCTACCTATCACAACTAAAACTCGGTGTAAGGAGATTGAATTAGTTTGAATTAGTTCCCCATGAATGCATATATCAGTAAGCAATAATTGCCATACCTGTCTACAAACATAAATCGGAAGCTTTTTTTTATTTTGCTTTGAAAATCAATTTAAATTGACTTAAGCATGAGAATGGACGTGACCAGTGGCTACGCAATGACAAATCATCGATAATAAATCTTCATCTGTCTAAACGCAACACAATATAGTGATAAAAATTTACACACAGCGCAACTAGGAAGAAAGATAAACAAGAATTCATTGACCATAAAAATAGGTCAACTAGTAAGGATATAACAGTCATTTTTATAAATTTTCTACGTTACAGTTTCTGATATGAATTGAAATTACCTACGCTGGGACAATTCACTTGTCACATGTAACTAATTTACCGAAATTCATGAAGTTAAGATATTCACACAACTTTGAACACAGAGTCACACTAGTGTGTTTATACGAATTCAGATGTTAATAATGTGTTTAGCAGTTAATACATGTTTGACATGAAATACATAATGTACTACTTCTTACAACCATCTGTGTAATGCGATGTTTCAGCTCATTTAAGTATGAACGGAACGGCATCAATAATCTTGAAATGTTAAACTAAAGCAGTAGATAATTTTGTTTTAGAATGAGAAAAATGAAATCTAATTAACTTTGTTATAAAATTCTTCTTTAAAATGACAGTAGTATGGAGACTATTGTAACTGACCACATGTCTAAATTTATTGGATTATTCTTTTTATTGTTTGTCTGAATGCTTTAATATTTCGTGATAAATAAGCACACTCTATCAGCTGAATAGAATCACTGAAATTTGTTTTGTTTTCATTTGTAAACTGGAAATGGATTAGTTTGAGTTCATAGTTTAAAAAGTAGGATCTATTTTAAAGTTCAATAAGTTTAAAAGTATAAATTCTAGGATTTATGCACAACAAAAACAATTTGGAAGCTGATAATTTTTGAATACTAGCTAGTTACTTTCGAAAAGATAATCAAATAAGTGATATTTATAAACTTCACTTACTTGGTGTTGCAATTTTCACCTCAGATCTTCTTTAATATTAAAAAATCTATAACTAGTATGTAAGTCAATATATTACAACTGAAAACTTCCACGTAGTCATCTTTGATAAAAACTTGAAGGATAAAAGCAGATTTTTAGGAAGTTGCATTAAGTAGTGCTGTTCGCTGTCTCTTAATTAACAATTTTCGAAACCTCATTGGGATTATTTCACATTATGTTACTTAGTTATTAAAAAAGTTAATCCTAATGAATGTGTTCATTTTATTAATTCATGTTATTTTATTAACCATATACCAAATATTTAAAGAAGACAAATTGGAAATCTCACTTTTTCTCATACACTTTTTGTCAAAGTATGGAATTTTATTAGCATTGTAAAGTTTTAGGAAGAAATCGGTATTTTAATTTAAAGAAATACAAGATGTCTGCATTTTCTTGTTCCGATAAACAACTTAATGTAGTGAATATTTTTAGGAAGAGATAAACTTATTTCTAACTGATTACATTTTGATATTTAAGTAAATTATATTTAAGCGATTCGATTTGAAATGATTATCCCGTGATTGATATTTTTGTCTGAAGCTTCATCATTCGTGGTTGGTATCTGGACACCCTATGGGGATTCCTCCATATAGCCATAAATACACATTCCTACATGTAATAGAATGTGGCTAGCAGTGCAATCCAAGACACGCGTTTGGTCCTACTTGAGACACATTTCTGATCGATAACTATTCAAAAACAACATAGCCTCAATCCCTATTTTAAGAAAGTGTTAGCTAGTAAGTCTGTATTTCTAAGTAGTAAAGTGGTAAGTGACTTGAATTCAGATCTATGAAGGAAATGAATGTATCCAGCGATTAACAAATAACTCGAAATTTCAATCAAGAACTTTATCATTGTATCTAATAATCTAAGAAGAAACTATGATACTATGTCACTTAATTTGATTGATTTACTACATAACTGATGGACAGAATTTGTTGAACACTGGTAACTGAATGACCTAACATAAATTCCTATTCAGTGGTCAACTTAAAATTCAAATATATATACAGTTTACTTGTGTGCTCAAATGATTTCGAATAATGTTGATGATTAGTCTTTCTGATTTGAGCTATGCTAAAATTATGAATTAATGAGACAACTAATTATTATCTCTTCGATTAATTCATTTAACAATACATGTAATTAATTAGATAAAAAAATGAAAGGTGAAAAGAAATAATAAATATTTAAATTGTATATCCGTGTTTTTTTAATGCAATTACAAAAAACTTGTTTCAAACTGAATTATTTTGCGAAGATAATAATAATATTATTATTATTATTAGATGTTGTGATTGGTGACCAGTAATAATCAATCGAAAAGTCGATCCAGAATTTGTTAACTTTCTGAATTATTCCCCTCTTAATGTGTACTTTCATATATTGAGGAGATAAGATTTAAGAAAAGAAAAAAAACAAGTTCCCAGTCCCCTACTGAATAAGTGGTTTAGAAAAAAAGAATTTAGACAAAATTTTTTGTTAATGAGTTTTAGTCTTCGCATAGAATAAGTCAATCAAGCCGACTAAATCAATAATCTAGCAAACTTAATTTTTTTAATCTTATTTGAAGATCTTTCTTTTCAATGTCATGTGTATTGGCACAAATACTATTGACTTTTCGATAAGTTAAATACAAAGGATGGTAGGCGAGAAATCTTCGTATATTTAAAACACTATAAATGTAACAGGGAAAAAAACAGTTTATTTTGTTAGGATGTTCAGTGATTAGATAACCAATCTGCAAGTACAGGCGATTTAAACGGCCAATGAATGTTAATCAGTGACTGAATATCTAATCTTTTTTCATACGCACAATTGCCTTGTATTGTATTGTTCTGTCACGATTACTGCTATTGTGTGTAGGAGGGAAAAAACTGTATATAATATTACGTTTGTTTTAGTACTGACTGATGAATAAAACCTCATAGATCAAGACTCTAAAGTGAGTATGCTTCTAAGTTATATATCATCTTGATGCACAAAACTACTTATAAGTTTGTTGTAGGTATTTGATAGCATGTCTTGAAACAAAGATTTATTTCATTCGGTAATCACCATGATGTTGTCTCTAGAATCCAGTTTTGCTAAATAATATTGAAAAGTCTTACATCAAAATTCTCTTAAACTAAGTTCTCACTTTGTATTTTATTTCCTATGGAATTAAGCCAACATTAGAATTTGTATGACAATATTATTTTCTTTAAATGTTCTCAAAGACAGCTAATAAATAAATATAGAATTCCTTCTTGATAACGTGCAAACATCTAGTAATGCTAAGAAACTTTAGAATGAATACTGTTCGGATGTAAAACTTTTACATAATTTAGTGAGAATTTGTTCAATAATTCACTTCAGTTTAGTTACCATTAGTTCAATTTTCAAACTGGTTTAAACTAAATTGGTTTCATTTTTTCAACTCAAATACTTATCTTTCCACGGTACCTGTAAAAAGTAGATTGAAAAACTGTGGTAAATCATTCATTGATATCATATCATATAGTCCTTATAAACCTCAACTACTTATTGTACTACTTATATTTATTAAAGCAACTAACTGATTCAAATTGTGATAAAGTTAATGTTGTCTTTAGTTTGAGTTTTTGCAAAATAAGATTTCATCAACAGTGCATTTATTTGTTTACCGAATAAAGACATGATAAAATTTTCCTTCAGAGAAAAATAATTGATAATTTTAGGATTGAAATTTAACTGTTATTTGGAAGTGTACTTCAATATCCTTGATAAAAATTTCTCTTTATTACCGATAAAATATTAATTACTGTTTCTTTGATTTATTTCTTGTTTGATTTGTTAAATTTTGTTGGCTCATTCAACTTTAACGGATATCATTTGATAGTAGACTAGTTTAAATTCATATTAATTCGCTTCTCATTATTAAACATTAACATTTTGAAATATCAATAAAAAAAATGCTAAATATTAAAATATTTCTCATCATAGACTGGTATCAACTCGAAAGCTAACAAAAACCTAGGATCACTTAAGAGATATTTCCTTTAGGTTTACGATTTTCCAATTCTGTTTACTTAAAAGGGTTATAAATGAGACAAAAACCAACGAAGTACCCTCTGAATCTGATTGTTTCTTATTCTTTCGACAAAAATATAAAATGTTTACATAAGTCTAACTAAATGACTAAATTTTATAAAGTTGTTACAAAAAGCGTACTGTTTTATGTTTTATCAAACTATCCAATAATTATTTACTGTATATTTTAAATTTTCTAGGTGTTTACACATTATCTGATGAAAAACGGTTAATCAAACGTTTGTTAAACAAATACCAAGCTGCAGGAATAACTGGTCGTCCAGTAAAGCATACATCTGAAAAAGTCCTCGTGGAAATGTCTCTCTCGCTAATACAAATTTTGGATTTAGATGAAAAAAATCAAGTGTTAACTACAAGTGTTTGGTTAAATTATGTAAGTGTTATTGTTTAACAACATTTTAATTAGTTTTCATGCTACTTCTTGCATTGTTTACTCTAATTATATTTTGTAAATGACTATTCCCGAACCCATTTTAGTTGAATGAAACCTGTTTAAATTTAGTGAATCAAGCCAAGTAAATAAAAATGAACTGAAGTTTTGTAATATAATAATTTATGATGACTTTTATTTCCTGAATATGACAGCGAATGATGTTTCATTAAACATGGCCAGAGGTCATGATTTCAGAATAAATAAAAGACATGTCTACAACGATAAAAGCTTTTACTAAGTTCACTTGATTGCTAACCATCAAACAGAAACAGTTTAGTTTCAGAATCTTTAATTTATAAACTTAACATTATATTTCGTAAGAAAAATTTCAACATTTTCAACTTCACTTAAATGTAAGTTTCTTATGGTTATAAAAAATAAAAATTTAATTGCATGATAATTCGGAAGATTTGGTTTCTTTTCATGTTTCTATGAAAGATATCTTGTTATAAAACACTTGTTCTTGGAAAATATATTCTTGATAGTTTGTCATTGTTGCATTGGAAGTAATTTCTTGGTATATTATCTACGTTTTAGTTAAAAATTTCATTACTTTGGAATTGAGATCGTAAATTCATAAGGGTATCATCAGAAAATTGTTATACGCTTTTTATTAAGATATTTTTTATTATTTAAAACCATTTCCAATGTTACTGAATAGATGATCCTTAAATTGATGATGTACTAACAAAATGGAAGGAAAGACATACCTCCTGTGACAATACATTCAACAGAGAAGTTCATCTTGTACACTCATGTACTAATAACATGAAATTTGACTGCATTTACTTAATTGACTGACATATTGAAATACAACTTTAATAATCAAATAATTATTCACAGCTTATTAGCTTGTAGAATCATTTATAAATTTTCCTTTTTAAATCATTTATCTTTTCATAAAACTTTAATGTCGGTAGCTCGGCAGAAGTTTATCATACAGTGAACTGGCTTGCTACTGCATCCGAAAGTCTTATTTCTTGACAAGTTTCAATGAATGTTAACTCATTGCTGAATTTCAAAAATGAAACTTTAGAGATCTTTATCGAGCTTAAGATTATTTGTTGTTTATTCAGTTATTCTTCCCTATGTTTATATACTTGGCTTAAGAAGTGTTTAGATCTTTTTTAAAAGAATAATTTAATTTTTTAAGATTCCTAAACATGATACACTAGTCAAATAGATAAATCCTCAGAGAATTAGAAATAATCCTCATATGATTTTCGTTGTGTTGTTGCTAAAATAACAGTAAAAAAATGATTCGAAACATAGGGATCATATTATAAACTATTAGTTACTTCAAGAAATTTACACTGGTAAATTAACAAAAATATACATTAACTTATTATTGGATTAAATTAAGATGAATAAAATTAGGAATGTGATATTTTAATTGCATTCTATTTGCTTCTATCACAGTGTCTAGATAGCCATTTAAACGAAGCAGAAAATATGCAAATGATATTTCCATGCATCGAATTCGTAAACATTATTCTTTCATATAATGAAAAACTTTCTGTTTGTTAAAATTAGTTTAAATGAAAATGATAAACAAGAATGCTAAACCTTTATATGGAATTCGATCAATAAATTTTAGTGTTATAACAATAATAATAACGATAATAGGTATTTCCACAATCCAAGATTTATGTACGAATTAACGCTTTTACTGAATCAAGAAATTATCACCAATATTAAAGATGAAGTAAACATCAATGAAAGTGGTTTAGTCTGTCTAAACATTGGAACTATATAAAGTAAATTTAAAATGTGGAAATATAGACAGACAAACGATATTTACATTCAGCAAATCGGAACACCTTATAAATGAGATGATTGCTAATTAATTGGGGATCAGGAGGAAAATGCAAGGCTTCATATTTTTGTTCATAAAGCTATTGTTTCTGTCATTCGAAGGAGAGTAAGAGTAAGTGAACTGTGTTTATGACTATGAGGAAGCATTTAATTGATTTGTTAACATTTACCTGATATCTTTTTATATACTATGCAATTTTAAATCTAAATGTTGGCAGCTATTTCTACATATCCACTTAAACACACTGGAAAATATTTATGAGTATAGAATGTTAAATATTCAGGAATTCAGGTCATGTAACTTTCTCTGCAGAAATAATTAGATAGATACATGGAAAATACAGCTGATAAGTCCATGCAATTTATCCTTTAATCTCATTGTTAATTCTAAATGAGTTAAATACATTAATTATAATTAGTTCTCTGTCATAGAAAGTCCATCATAATTTTCTACTCATCATGTGAATTGACATTTCTTCGAGTATATCATCTCCAAACTATGAGCGCAAAACTAAATACATATTTTTTCTGATAAATGATATTATAAAGATTGAAATTGATAAACTTGTAGGTGGAGGTTTGATTGTGAGATTGACGCAAACAAATTGAGCAATTGCCAGAAATAGATTAAGTACTTGTGTTTGAACTTTCTAGAAAAGTGTTTTTGTAAGAGTATTAGATTAAACATTAAATATGTCCTAACAGAATGAAAAGCTTATAAACAAGGTAAATTAATGTGAAACCGTTAGTTTATTAGTTAGTTATTTAAAAGATAACGAAAAATTGGATCGTTATAAAACAGTTGATAACAGTCGACATGGCGCTTGGAGACGAGATTCAATAGTAATTTATACTTGTTATCATAGTTCATCTATACTCTTGAAAAAACCTATACCTTTGTTCATTAGATTCAAATTGGTCAAGAAATATACCACACAACCATGTTTACCTCATTCAACCACTAATAAACAAAAGTGACAACATGCTAAAACGTATAGCATGTTAGCGAATTTGCAACTGTATCTAATGACCAACATCAATAATTTGACAAAATAATATTGATTATCGACAGTTGATCAAATCGATAAAACAATACTTATAAGTTAAAAATGACTTCACCTCAAATGTAACACACCCTGTTACTTTAAAAACAGATTTATTTCTCAGATAATCAATAGTAATAATTATACATTGAGTGATTGTTCGATTCGCTCGATACTACTATCAATCAATAATTTGAACACTGACTTTGGCCTCCTAGATGAAGAAGATTTGCTTATCCATTTTGTCCAATGTGTATTTTGGATGAAATAAACAGTCAACCTCATTCCTATTAATGTCACCAAGGCATCTCACTTGGTTATTACTGAAACCTTAGAATTAAATATATATATATATATATATATTGATACAAAAAAACAAGTACATGGATAAAAATAAGGAAATAAATGAGAGAAATAATGAATTTTTTAGCGAACCATATTCTCCGTTTTATTTCACTTCGGCTGTAACTTTAGAAATACTCCACTTGTTTTTGACAACAGAATGTTATTAATATGTTTTAGTTATGGGAAAAATTTGTATTTTTCTGTTGGGAAAAAAGGAAAAAGCAATTTATGGTAAAACTTATTTTTATTTTTATTCTACTTAATAAAAACTGTAGAATTTATTTCATTTCATAGATTTCGTTAGACATTATCAACAAAGTAAATACATATACTTTATACTATTTCTTTTTTTTAAGAATGATATATAACTCGATAATGGGAATGTCTGCAAATATGCGTGACTAAGTAGAAAATCGAATGCCACCATTTATTATATTCCTTATGATAACTAGCAAAAACTACGTCTACAAACCGTGTTCTTTCTGCCTTCCTCGCAATTTTTTTTCAATTATGTTCTTGAAAATTTAAAATAAAATGTAGACATGATTGATAACTTTCATAGGTCAGTATAATTTTCATATGTTATATCTTATCTGAAAGAGTATGTTCTATATGAATAGTTTTTAAAGCTGTCATCATCTTATGTTCAAGATGAAGTATATGGAATGTCTCTTTTTTGAATACAAATACATAACACTATTAAAAAATCAGTTGGTTAGACGACTACTTTTCATGAATTGTGTACTGCTTATATTCGTTTCTATTTTTGACTGGCTTCAGGCAGTTATAAGGGTTATTCACTACCAAATGAAATGAAAATTAACTACCATTCACTCTTCATCGTAGTTTTGTAATTAATTCCACAGAGAACGGTTTATATTGATTCACAACTGTCTAAAGTATTTTGTCAGTCTAAAATATGATCTATTTGATAAACTTTTTCAATAAGATGATAAAATTATGCAAAATAGGTTCTTAAATCCATTTTTTTCAAATACCATAGCATTGGCAATGTGTGCTTTACTTTCGATATCAACTGGTCACATTTTCTCGCTAGATATTTGGAATTAGTCACTGAGCATATTATGTCTGTTTATCAGGATGGTATGGCAAGGTGGCTTATTTTGAAACTGGGTCTTGTTATGATCAAGTTTATCATGATGTTTGTGTACTGTGAACATATCATACATAGAAAGAAGTGTAGGCTTTTTTCGTTTCCAATAGTTTTCTAGATGGTGGAAATTTTTGATCTAAATTAAATCATTATTTTTGAACAAGGAGGACACTTATACGGCAACCGCTCAATATTAAATGATTGATTGCCTCGACTGGCCAGTAAGTAGTTTGCGGTTGCTGGTACGAAAAACGACATCTGATAACACGTACATTAATTATCCTGCGAATGTTTTTTCAATCGATGAAGATATCAGTTTCTCTACTGAGTGCTATTTGACTAGACGAATTCGTATTTAAGTGATGTTTTGATTGGATTACATTTTATTCATAGACTTAAGCGACATGTAAATTTCAGTTTTAATTTTATGACTCCTTATAATATGATCAAAAAAAATTAAAAGGATTTAAATATAATCGGAAAATGAATGAATTTGGTTTGCTGTACGTTTGAATGCATTTGAATATGAAAAGTATCATCTACACGAACATGAAAAAGATGTATAGTGTATGACCGAACACCTTATATCAAAAAGACTAAGTTTACTAAGGAAAATGTTTCTAATTCAGAATCATCATCGTATATTCAAATGTAAAGAGCATGGAAAACTATTAAATTTAGAAGTTTTATCAATCAGTAAACAACCTCATGAAATGATAACAATTAATTATTCACTGGTGAATTAGAAGTTCAGGACAATTATTTTGCTATTATCAAGTTCTCCAATACTAAATACTTAATAGATGCTGCATCCGGACAATAAAACATGATATTTTCAAATTTGACGGTCGGTAGTGTATTAATGTTGTGCAACTAACTTGCGATTCTGGGTAAATAAGGTAGACAGAATCCGGTATGAATTATACAACCATGAACTTGAACGAAGTAAACCTTTGTTATTTTCACTAATTGTTTAAGATTTTATCATCTTAATCACTTGACATGAGCTCTTATTGACATTCATTGTAATCTATTATCACAAATAATAATAATTTGTGTTATATTAATCTTTCAGTCACTAGATAAGTAGTGTACACTTAAAGTCACGATTCGTGTGAACAAAAATCTTTATTTAGGTGATGTGAAAACAAGAGTTTTGCTTTGATTATCTTTACTGTAATCGTTGCGTTTCTAATTATTCTAAATAATTAAGAAGTCAAGTGTTTGCCTTAGTTTTTTGCTAGAAAACATAATTAGAAACTGAAATAAACTTCTACATTTTCACTTAATCATGTCTTACTTTTTTGCGTGGTGTAGTTTGTTTGGTACCTGGTTTTATATTTCATATTTGAGCTACAATGTTTCCTCAAAGATCATGACGCTTGTATTGAATGGTCACTTTACAATTGTTTTCCATTAGAGTTATGGAGATTAGTGTTTTTATACACTGGAATCATCAATCAATCATTGTTAGACCACCATTAGAAAGCTGGAAACACTGTACTGCCGTTTTGTCCTGGCATGGGACTCATCAACCGTGCGCATCCACGACTCCTGCACCTCGCAGGATTTTAACCCAGAACCTTTGGTCATGCGCGTGAACCCCTAACCCCCGGACCCCTAGCTCGGCACCACACGGTGTTGATGTCTAAATCTGATCAGTCTAGCGAATTCGTGCGATCTCATCCATTTGTTTTTGATAGTTATTGCCTACACCTGACAGAGTTGTACTCCACTGGTCACGTCTTCTCACAAGAACTCCGAGAATTTCCTTACGAAGCAAATAATGGCAGGTTGTGTTCTACTTAGTTTTAGACATGTTCTAGTGATTTAATAGGAATATTACTACCAAACCATATGACTCAACACTGTGGTACAGTTTAGTTGGTTTTAGGTGATCGTGGTAAGTAACATGAAGTTTTGAGCACAGATTTTGTTAGGTTTTATAAATTACTTTCTTTTTATCACTAAACAATTTATTTTACAGTTATCTTACCTTAACGGACTATTTTCAACTTGATAGACTGTTAACAGTTATGACTGCAAACTGTTAGAAAATTCATAAGTGAGACTAAACAGCTTTTCAGTTCTTGTATAATTTTCAATGATTTTCTAATTGAGTAGAGTTTATGATGAACTATTATCTTTAAACTTAACAAAACCTTCCTAAATCTATTGTATAATACTTCAAGTCTTAATATATTAGCTTGTCTAGGCCTAACAAAATGTCACACCTAATCTTCTAGTTCATACAATAATATATTTTTATATTTAATTTAAATACTTTGTTTCTCTTCAGACAGAGTGTATTCATTGAGTCATGCAACGATGTGTCAGTTCGTCTTCTTTTGCTTATATTCCCTAATATGTCGAATATATATATATATATATATATATATATATATATATATATATTTAATGTAAAATTTCAACTAGTGAATCACTGATAAGCTTATCGATCTGATTATCCAATCAATAAACAAATGACAACAAAGATACACTAGAGTTAAACAAAATAAGTTTGACTTCCTCTATTTTGTATTGGCTTATTTTCTTTCTCTTTTTTTGTTGATCAACTTGTTTTGTTCTCAGTTGTGTCATATGCTTCTTCCGGAGACGACAATCATTACTATCATCCAAACTAACGCTTAATGCAACAAGAGGCGAACTGAAAATGAGAACGTTTTCTGCATAAATGTTGAGTCAGTGTTATAAGTGAATTATTTTTTCCCGGTTATATAACTAACCAACATTTGCATTTTCTGTTACTTGTAGAAATAAACAAACATATTTTACTTGACCTAAATTTTATCTTTATTTTAAATGGATTTTTGTCTTACTTTGATGATGAAAAGCTAGTGATTGGCAGATTACTGGTTTATTGATGAATTAAATGAAAAAGGTATTAAGAAGATTTAGACTAGTCATTTAAAAACAGGTTTCTTGTAGATTCTGTAGTTGTTAACTGCTATTTCAGGAAATCATCTAGATATAAAAATGTATGAGTCTCACCAGCGTTATGTAACTATTTGGATAGCTTGATCTGTTTGAATCGCTAAAATTAACCAGCTTAATTGCCTTCCTGAATAGTTTTGGCTTACGGTGAATCATTGTTAGACAACGATTGAAAACCTGGAGGCACTAGACGGCGTTTCGTCCTGGTATGAGACTCATCAGCTTTGATTTCATCCATAATAATAACACTGTTAAAATGTAGAGATAGCTTTCTTATTTTCGTTGAGGGCTTCATTGTAATATGCGCAAAATACTTTAATTATGATCTGTATCAAAACGTGGTAGCCAAATCATTCACACACTGTTATAAAGTATTAACATTAAAGTATATCTAAAGTTCACTTTTATAACGAACCATAATTTGTGAGTTCATAAAGGCATAATACTGAAGGTTAAAACCCGACATGGTTGAACTCCTCTGGTCACGGTCCAACATCGGTCGATCTGTGATTTCAATGGAACTTAACACTTCACACTGCTCTATAACAATAATTATCGTGTGCACACCAGTGACTAGTGAAATTACTCCTAAGTTCCCAAGGAAGGCATGAAAAGTGAAGTTCAACCGTATCAAGTGTTCAGCAATTACCTTTAAAAAATAGTGGATATGGTCACTCAGTATCGTGGCTTGATTGAAGCTAGACATTAACACTGTTGGATTCCGGTTTAGTGCTTCAGAGTTTAAGCGTTCATACGCGAGACCGAAAGTCCTGCGTTCGACCTGTAACGGTAGCAGAAGTCGTAGGTGGCACTGCTGACAAGTTTCACACCAGGAATAAACGCTGATAGTGGTCTAACATTGATCAATCAATTATATACATGAAACGTATTAGCTTTTCCATGATCTTCTCTACATTATGATGTACATTTTCATCCCTAATCACCTTAGTATTTATGTTTATCAATTTCCAAGAGGAATGTAATTTCAAAATATTATTGGTTGTAAGCAGGTGATGTGCACCTGGTGAAATAATGTCAATTCATATTATTCTGCTCCAATCTTCGTTTTTGTTCTTTTTCAGTGGATTAAATATTTTTAAGCAATACATCGATAGTACTAACTGAGTTATTTAATTTTGATATGATCTGCCTGTGACGAATAACACTTTTGAAAACAATTACAGTAAAACATTTTTGATATGAATTTATACATTATACATTTCAAATACTTCTAGTTATAACAGAATTTTTCGAATTAATTTCCCATTTATATCTTTACTAATATTATTTAATGGTCTAAAATTTTCAACCTGAAACATTTATGCTGATTCATTTATTGCAGCGCTCATAAGAAAAGATCTGATTAAGTATTTAGATGAATTAAATAGAACAAATTTGCCTAGTAAATTGGAACATAAATAAATGTCAAATGTATTTCAGCGTCGAATCTTTAATTATCTATACAGAAATGCTAAGAAATGTAATGCATTTTAATATCATATTTCTGCATTACTTTACCTATACGGTTTGAAGAAAATGCACTTACTTATTTAAGCCTGTTACCACTAATGGAGCATAGGCCGCCAACCAGATTTCCCCAACCAACTCTGTTCTGAGCCTACCTATACAGTTCTAACCGACTGCTGTCCATTCTTTTCTTATCTGTGTCCGATTCTTGGCGTACTATATTCTTTGGTCTTCCTCTTTTCCTTTCATCTTGAGGATTCAAAGTTAGGGCTTGTCTTGTGACGCAGTTAAGTGCTTTCCGCAATGTGTGTCTTATACACTTCCAGAGCTTCTTCGCAACTTCTTCCTCCATCGAAATCTGGTTGTTTCTCTCACAGTAGGTTGGTGCTAGTTGTGTCTGGCCAATTAAGAAAAACTGTAACCTACAGTATCTAAATGTTTTTCAACCAAACGAATGATTCATTGAATTTTTGTTTTCAGATATAATTTAAACAAGCATCATTATTTACTAAACATTTTCAGCGCTGGACCGATCACATTCTCAAATGGAATCCAGAAAATTACTCGCAAATTCAAGAAGTACGTGTCCCGTACAGGCATATTTGGACACCAGACATAGTGTTATATAACTAGTAAGTTAAAATGATCAATCGATTTTCTTCGAAAACGGTCTATCAACTACATGGTGTACATCATGAACTGACCTTAGTTAGATAGCTATTGTAAACCAGAAAGCACTAGATAGCTGTTTTGACCTAGTATACAACTCCTCGGAATTGTGTATTCGAGAGCTCACAGGGGATCGAAGCAACGACCATCAAGTCACATGGAGAGCGCTTGACGTTTAGACCACAGACTTACAATCTGATAGCGTACGCTTAGCAGTCAGACATTTAGACCATAGGATGGTTATTCAGTGGTCTATAGTCTAGGTATCCATTGCAGCACAGCAGCACAACTAGTTTTAAATGGATTGTGAATTTTACGTCCTCACATAATTTGTCCGTTAAAATCTCATATTTTGTACCACTACAAGTTCATTGATTCACATCTAGCTAATTAATAATGTAGTATTATGTTCTGTAAAAAAATATTACCTTTTAATTTATCTGTAATTACTTGATTAGTATATGGTAGTTAGTGTACCACATTATTCGATTTTTATGATAAACTGTTGTAAAGAACAAAACATGCAAAAGTATAAAGTGGATGTTAACTACTCATCTCTGCTTATGAATGTTAAGTACTTATATTTTCGTTAGTTCTGTACTTTTTGAGGCTGAATTCAGTTTGAAAATAGTTAACGTTACGTGTTGATGTTAAATGCATATTCATCAGAGATAAGTAACAATAGATGAATGCATAATTGAAATCTCGAAGGTGAATATTCCTGACCAGATAGCAATGAACCTACATCCATATTTTGTGGCTAGTATCTTACTTTAAGACTACACAGTTTAAAACATATTGTTCATTCATAAACCTTCAATCGATTGTCTAAATAGTGTAGACTTCTTTGAGTTCAATAATATGTTCATCGATGATATTGACTGATCGTCAAATTATTTTGAAAATGAATCAAACTTTAGAAGTTTGAATATATATATTTTTTTATTGAATGACTCAAAATTAGAATGCTCACAGTTAAATACAATGATCTGAGATCAAATCTATACTATTTAATTGTTTCGGTACAACTTCTACCATTTAAACATGACTAAACCTTTACTTCGAAGAAGCAAAAAAAGCCATCAATGTTAAACCATAATCGGTTTTTGGAAATAATAAACAACCTGAATTTATTCTCAACATTTATTCAAACAACTTTCACTTTACACTAACATGGTTTCCCACTTTATTTCATTATATTCCAGCGCCGATGAACGATTAAAAGAAATGCGTGATGCTATGGTTATTGTACAACATACTGGCGATTTAACTTGGATTCCACCAGCAATTTTTAAATCATCATGTAAAATAGATATCAAATCATTTCCATTTGATGAACAAACATGTCATTTGAAATTTGGATCTTGGACATATGACGGGAATAAATTAGATGTTAAGTTTATCAATAATGAAGCCCAAGTATTGTTAAGTGATTACACAGAAAGTAATGAATGGGAGGTAATTGCACGTCCAGCTTTAAGAAATGTAAAATCATATCCCTGCTGTCCAGAATTTTATCCTGATCTAACTTACTTTCTATTGTAAGTTAATTATATTTGATATAATAACTGTCTATGTTTTATAGGCCTTGAACAAAGTATTATTTATAAGTTTAATGTGATAAGTTATAACTCTGTACGATGAAACAATTAATAGTTAATGTGTTATCATATTGTTAAACCTTTTAAATGCAATTGTTGGCATTATAATTACAGTTGTACAGAACATTTAACAACCTAACATATCGTAGCATATCTACCTTTATTTTATTTGGCCACTTTTATTCATTTAAATTACATAGAGCACAAAGACAGTCGCCATTTTTTCATAGGTCAAGGAATTTAAGCACCCCAGTGAGCAAAACGAATTCCCTTGGTTATGAGGTAGGTACGATCCTTTGAAACAAAGAAGCTACGACGTTGATCTTAAAAACAACCTCTATTCAATGCGAAAAATGCTGACTTACGAAAGTGGGCTTTAAAGCTTAAAGGATATAGTTCACATAACTGTTTTCACTTTTATTAGTTTTAATGATCTTTATCTAAATGTCTAATTTTTTGCAAACTCACGAAGGAGTTGCATTCAATAAAGGATATACTTTGTCGTTGGATTCAATTAAAAATCACCTAGAAGTCAGGGATAAACGAAAATGATTTCTTTCGTTTCATTCAGTGTTTGATACTGAGAGATATGAACGTGATGAAATGACTATTCTCTAACATCAAAGAAAAATGTAGGATTCATTAGATATCGTTTCTGCGTTATTAGAAAATTATAATTCAAATGTCCTTCTTTGCTTCTTTAGCAAACTAACTGATAAACGACCTACCTGTTCTAATGAATAAATGCCAACAATGAAATTATAATCTTAAGAGATAATAGGTAAGTGAAAGGGGTGAATTTAATTCAGAGTGCTCACCTTATGTAATCAAAATGAGTAGACTGTTTTAAAAAGTCATTCATCTATTTGATATATATTTCATACAAACCAATTTTTTCTCAGGTAAAAGTCGGATACTCAGAGTGCTTTACACAGAAAGAACTCAACCTGAATAGGAAATTTACAGTTTAAAAGTAGTCGTTTACTGCTTAGTCTTACTTATCGCATAATCTGCATGAATCTGTTTCAAAAGAGCTGACATTTCAATATTGTTTTACAGTCTAAGGAGAAACGCAGCATTCTTTTCATACATCTTGGTTCTACCATGTGTGTTACTGGCATCGTTGACACTGGTCATTTTCTGGTTACCTCCAGAATCCCCTGCAAAGATGGTTCTTGGTAAGCAAACCTGGTGTAAATTATGATAAAATTATCTTTTTCATTATCACGTTTTTAATCTTGTTCAGAGCTACGTAAACCGCGAGTAACTAGTCCAAATTCTGTCCCTGTGTGAAACTAGACAAAAGTGAGATATTTTGAAGTTATTCCAAAGAATCGTGGCATTTAATTTCAAAACCATGAACAACCGAGTTTGAAATTCAACGTAATAACTTATTCAAGCATTTTAACTAAGCGCATTTTCCGACATTTTGTACACAAATCAAACATGAGTATAACTAGAACCCGCACAGAAATGAAATCTTCAAATTGTAACTCTTAAGTACGAACTTTTACGATTTGCTGGAGATTTCAAGGTATCTAAACCCCAGTTCAACATGCCAACTGCTATGTTTCCTTTTGACACTGGAGCAGACAACTATATGCCTCAGATGGTTTGAAGAAACGGGTGAACTAACAACTATTTCTATGAACTATACAAGCAGGTAGCGTTGAAAAATTTTGTTATGAAGGTGAGATAGTGAATGTTCCAGTAATCTAAATAGCGAAATTCTGATTGTCAATTTCAGTGAGTAGAATACCAATCGGTACTTGAACGCAGTTTTGATGTGGCGGGGTGATAACTGATCATAAGACCATTTCGTTGATTTAAGCCTTCAAATTATTAGTAATCAAAGACTAGAATACGGACAATGTGAATAACTTTTTATGTAATTAAATGATACGCTTATATCTAAAATGACAGCACGTAACAAACATTCTTAACCATCGTTGGCTACTAGAGGAAATTGCGTTGTATTTTATTCACACTACAGTCAAATGGGACCTAGTTTTCAGGGCGAATTCTTGTTGTTTTCGTCACCGATAGAAAATATGATTCACACGCCAGAAAGTTTGTCACGTCAAAGGTTCCCTCTTTCGGCCTAACTTAAATATATGAACAAGCACTTTTTGTGCAAACGTCAGTACTCACATGTCCAAATCTTGGTTTACAAATTTAAATGCAGAGTCAGAACTATACATTACTAAAAACAAAATGATCACACTATACTAGTGAAACTCTGTACATCGTTGTACTAATCGTATTGATAATGCGACAGTGTTAATGCTGATGATACCATTAGTAAGCGTTTGTTTCAATGATAAGTGATACAAATCATTATCTTAATGAAAAAGTTCTTGATATTTTGTCAGTAAAACCTCTCGATGTAGTACCTGTAATAAGAGTTTCCTTACCTTCGATGTAACTCTTACTTACCATATAATGAAAATTCAATTTCGTTGTTTACATTTATTCATTTTAGAGTATTTCATGTTATCTGTTAAACTAAATTTTGACTAATGGTAGTATTTGAACTTATTTAAGATCTTTTAATTTTGGTGTTCAGGGTTCTTTATTCCGAATAAAATGTGTATATCCACCAACTGAAGTCAATTTATTTTCCTTATTATCATGCATGAGGCTATAAATCAGCTTTTCGACACAATATGAAATTCAGCCATATTTTATTCTTTTTTTATGCATAACAAACTCTGAACAATATCACTTTTCTGTTATACATGCTGAAATATTCCAGGAATGAATATATTCGTGGCCTTCTTTTTACTGTTATTGTTATTGGCTGATTCTACACCACAAGCCTCAAACAGTGTTCCTTATATTGGTATGTTGTGTATTTTTTTTCTAGTAAATCCTATCATAAAGCAGTACTTTTTAGATAATAGATTTTATTCTGCAAAAAGGGTAACCGGGTGACAATTATCATAAAATATGTTTCTTCATCTGAGTATTGTGATATGAAAACACTGTGCTGCAGTTTGACGGATTGAGTCAGTCAGTCAGTCAGATGCAACATAGAACTTCGTGCGTAAGTACATCAGTTCATGTCGCCATACCACATCGGCACAGAGATGTAATTGTCAATTCAAATCCAATAGTAGAAGAGGTAATAAAGGTATTAGGTTAGGATTAGAACATATTATTCAAGAAGTATGATTTAATGAGAAAAGTTTAGAAAGTAAAAACTAGAGTTGTTGAACAATCCAGAAGATTAGGATTTGAGAGAACACAAAGCAAAAATGCACCGGCACCATTGCGAACGATTTTGAGCCATGTCATTCAACGTCTCTAATTATCGATTATTATCATCTCGCGGACCCCAACCAGGTAGTCGACAATTACCGACATGCCTAAGTCCACTAGTCAATGACTTCATGGATTTCTGCCATGTTTTGGTCTGGCCGCCCCTAACTTTCTTCCAACCTACTCCTACACTACAAAACAAAGTTCGACGAGGCACTCGGTGGTTAGGCATACGCAGCACATGTCCCAACCACCTCAACTGATGAAGTGTCACTACTGCGTCTATTGATCTGCCATTCTTACCTAGCACCCGATTCCTAATAACAGCGTTGCTCACTCGGGTGTCCCAGGATATACGAGCAATGCTTCGAAGACACCTATGATCGAAAACCAGTAACCTACGAATATCTTATACTCTCACTGGACATGTTTCACAGCCATAAAGTAAGACGGAGCGAACCACTGCACAGTACACTCGTCCTTTAGTCAGCGAACGGATATCTCGCCTTCGCCATAAGTGATGCAGGTTGGCAAAAGCCAATCGAGCCTTCTGTATCCGAGCTGAGATTTCGTCAGTCACCAGGCCATCGGCACTGATGAGACTCCCAAGATAAGTGAAGCGGTCTACACGTTCGACTACTTCACTCCCTATCACTAGTTCAGGTGCCGATGAAACCAAGTCTTGAAGCAACATTTTGCATTTCGAGAGTGAAAACCGCATCCCGAACATGCTGGGATTGTTGCTTAGGGTAGTGAGAAGACTGCATTTTGTCAGCGTCTTCACCAAGTAGGACAATGTCATCGGAATATTCTAAGTCAACAAGCGAGCCACCTGGTAGAAGGTCTACTCCCGAAAATTCAGACGAGGATAAGGTTATTTCTAGGAGCATGTCTATGAAAAAATTAAACAAGAATGGAGAGAGTAGATATCCCTGACTGACACCACTTGAAGTAAAGAATTCAGATGACAGTTCGCCATAGGCTCTCACTCGACCAGTGGTGTTCGAATAAAGAGCTTGTGTGAGGTTAATGTACTTCTTTGGTACACCTTTCAATGACAGACACTGCCACAGTACCTCACGATCCCCTGAGTCAAATGCCGTCTTAAGGTCTAGGAACCCATCTACTATCGGACGTCTAAATGTGTGTCTGTGTCCCAAGACCTATCGTAGTGTGAAGATGTGGTCTATACAGCCACGTCCAGGTTTGAAACCAGCCTGGTTTTCTCTAGTCTGCTCTTCACGATCTCTAGTTAGACGTCTAAGTATAATCGAGGCTAACAATTTAGAAACTATATTAGTTAGACTTATTCCCCTGTGATTGTCACAAGAAGACTTGTGTCCTTGCTTATAGATTGGGACAATCAGTGATTGAGACCACTCGGATGGGATTACGTCCAGTTCCCAGATTCTACCTAAGATGTCAAGTGGAATTCCCATTCAATGTTATGACTGTATGTAATCTTACTTACTCAGAAAAAGTGAATGAAGCGGAAAAACAGTTAACGAACAGTTAGCGAACCCATCCCGTAGAAAACTAGCTCGCTGAAAAAGCTAACCAGAAAAACTAAGTAAAACCACTTAAAATTTATACTACCTATTGAAAGGAATTCGTTTAGAATAGTTATGACGTCCGATGATGAAAGCGGAGTTCGTTCGGAAGTAACGAGGCCGATGCACCATTCAATCGCTTTCTCAAATTCATAAAGAGTCGGGGGACTAACGTCGACTTGCCATTCAGGATGACTGGAGATCGTGGGTAACCTAGCAGTGGCTCGAGGCCAGTTGAACTGATCCTTAAAGTGTTCTGCCCATCAATCCAGTCTCCTGGATTGAGAATGGATAACAGTCCCGTCATTCTGTGAGATAGTCTCACTTACACTAGGATTCCTTATACCAGTTTCCTTGATAAATCGGAAAAGTTGTCTACTGTTGCCGATCGCCGCTGTCTTTTCCATCGCTTTTGCTTTCGCCACCCACCACTGTTCGCGGTCGTTACGTAGGCTTTTTATAAGTCTGCGCCTAAGTTGACTTCGTTCTTCATCATGTTCAGAGCCAGGTGGGATGAGTTTTCGGACATCCATCAGATCGGTGGATGCTACTGAGAGATTGCTACTGACAGATTGAAGACATCATTTACCACCGAAATATTCTGTTAATTAATATCTAATATCACTCTCTATCATTTAAGTTTGCCAGTTTAAGTTGACTAGTATTAAGATGTTATTATTCAGAAAAGTTTCACAGGCGAAAACAGAATTCAAATCTGGGAAAGTTATCTTTGAAAATTCTTTTAATCGATTATCAATAATGTTACCCAGTTTATCAGTATCCTCCTTTATGGGTTCTACTATCTGCAAACGGACAAACAAAAGGACTAACAACATTGTGGTTTGCAATAAGCTTTTAATCAAAGACGTCATTAGTCGCAGAACTAATAACGTTTAAAACACTACTATTTTTTGCTGCGATCATTACTGACTTCACTTTTTATTAGTGTATAACGTCGAAGTTATTCTTAATGGTTTGTTACATAGATGTATAATCTCTTATTTCACTTATTTAACACTATATATCAATGCATGACGTACGAACCTATGCCTAGTCAACGGCCACCGTGAGACAGCATCTCCCAACGTTGCCCCAACACCTTGTGGATCAGACCTCCGGTTCAAAAGTTCGTTGAGTGACCACCTAAGAAAACTGCCTACTTTGTTTAGACCTACCGTCTAGCCTACACACAAACTCAGTGATTTGTTTGGTGCTCCTTTATGTACTTAAATAAATTAGTAAATAATGATTCCTCTTAAAATCTGCATAAATCGGTGAATTTCGACTAGTTAGCTTTCTGTTCCATTTCTTTTACAGGTTATTACTACTGCTTGAATATGATACTCATCACATTATCTTCGTTTCTGTCTGTGTTTGTGATTAATCTGTATTTTCGTGGTGATAGACGAAATCGGGTGCCACAGTGCTTGAGAAGAGTAAGTCGAATTGTGTTTGGACGAAGGTGCAGACTGCCTGTTATGTAGCATGATTTGAACATAATTATAAAATCTTAATAACAGATATTATCGAATGGTTCTATGAAGTGGTTTTCACCATTGGATAATTCATCGAATATCGATCTCACAGAAGGAAAGAAATTTCTGAAAATCTAATTTAAATAGGTATCAGTACCATGATTGGACTTGAAATTTCCAGCTGAGGAAGTGACTGGCCGTAAGTCATTATCAGTAACCAGTTTTCAACTTCATTACATCACTTATGGATTCTGGATACGGGTAACATTTACTTTATCATGTAGTTGGTTGCTTGACAATCTCACGTCAAATCAATAAGCTGTTTTTGGTTGACTAAGTATTTGGTGTTTGTTTCGATTGAGTATGTAAACCACAATTTCCCATATGGCGAGTAGGATTAAAAACGCCGGATTTTATTTCGCATTTACGTTGGAAAACCAGTTAAACCTATGAATCGGTGTGTATATATATTGTATTGCGATAGAAATATTTCCTATCGTAGTAACGAAACATGCACAAAAAATGTGTAACTAGGAATATTTCTTTGTAAAACACTTCACTCTAGTAAACTGACTCATTTTTATGAATATTGTCTTTTCACGTTTCATAGATTTGTCATATTTTGAATGGTGCTTGTGATGGCAAATGCAGCTGTACGGAGACTGATAAGAACTCACCCATGAATGCTATTATCAGTGGTTCGAATTCTGCACCGAATAATCAAACTAACAGCGATTATTCATCTCAGCTGCTACAAATGAAGTCAGCTTTAGTTAATTCAAATAATGAACAAGATATATCAGGTGATACAAGAGCTGTTAGTGGAATGAAACGTTCTAAAAAGGGTAAAACGCGTTTTGCCACGGTACAAGAGAATAATGGATTAAAAACTTTAATTGTAGATAATTATGATTATGATACTAATTTTATTGAGCAGAAAAGATATCGACCAAACCAGCGTCACTGTGAAACACAGACTGAATTGGATAATCTTAACAAAGAACTAAATACACCACAGCTAACAGGATCTTGTCAACGTCATTCCAAACTATCAAAGATACGAAGTCGTTCGTTAACTCCATCAAAATTTAATGATTGTGATATATTAGGTAATCCACAACAATCCTGTGCATACTGTCAACATTATTATCAATCATACGCACCATCAACTCGTTGTACTGTATGTAGTCCATTACCAATTCTAAGTGTTTCCACCAATCCACGAGCTTTAAATCCAAGAATACAAAGTTCAAAACATGGGAAACACCCTGAAAATTGTAATGTCTGTAGACAACACCTCAATGCATTAATGTGTAAAACACACACTAGTGATTATTGTTCAATGAATCGTCACTCTATGGCTCATACAGCTATCCCGTTCGATACTAATTCTTTATGCTCTCATGTTCGATATGAATATCGTAATGGTAGACCTGCACTTATATCTCCACATGGACGTAATTACCTAGATCATAGCGAGCTTACTAATAGTTATACAGGTCTACAGTTAAAATCATCTGCACTAGTTAAAACTACATCTTATTCATCCAATAATCCCATAACCACTGATTCAACTGTTACAAATATTAATCCTGAGAAAACATTACAACATTTACAATTATCATCAACTTTATTAATTTTAATGAAAAATATGGAAAATGAAGTGGAAGATATTCGTTCATTAGTGAAATTATTTTTATCTAGAGTAGATAAAAAAGATGCAGAAAATGTTATCATTAAAGAATGGCGTATGATAGCTATTGTTATGGATAGAATATTTTTTATATGTTATTTAGTTATACATTTATGCGCAGCATTCGGCTTATTGATACCACGTTCATCAGAGTATAATGTTGTTGAGTTTTTAAGAGAATATCGACTGAAAAATTATAATTCAACATTTTTTGAAAATGAAACAATAACAGTGAATAATTTTCAAACAGTAACGACAGCAATGCCCAATGTTAATAAAGGTACTGATTCAACAGATATTAATAAGCAAATAAGTCAACTTGGCACTAAAACATCAGTCACTTTAAATGAAATGAATAAAGAAAAAACAAAAATTCAAGAGTTTAGTTCACCTTTAACCTATGAACGTAAGCCTACATATGATGCTTCAAATCCATTGGATAGCATGACCAATTACTTATCTCCTTATCAACGATTAGTCGATCAACAAGCGAATACATTACGACATACTGAGGAAAACATTGCCGATCCTGGTTTAGTTTATCGTAAGTCTGACCAACCACCGAATCAAATTCAAAAAAGAAACTATGACAATGAATGGAATAATCCTAATCTAACATAAGTAGAATGTCAGGTTCCTAAAATAAAACTATTTTTATAGGAAGAGTAATTATTTACTCAGGAAGTCAAAAGTTTATTCATGAATCAACTCCTCAGCATAACCTTCCAGTTTTAATTCATTCGGATTAAAGGATTGTTTCTTTTTTTGGGGGGGGGGGGGGACTGTACTGTATCTTTGCATAAATTTAGACAGTAGATGATCTACTTTAAAAGCACTTTTATTTATGTCATCATTCAACTGGTTATTCATGCTGTTCTATCTAGAATATTTGAAAATGGCAATATATACTCTGATTAATTTACTGTTGAATGCATACTGAATAAATAACTTTGTAGAAAATTTTACAGTGAATAAGGTTGTGAACAAGATATTAAATAGCTTCTCTTTATAACAACACTTTTATATAATCATAGAATTTATTTATAACTGAAATGTTTATGGAACATTTTCTTCTGAAATTATTACTATTCTATTATTATTATTATTATTATTATTAATAATTATTATTTTTTAGTTAACTGTAATTTGGTTGTGAAAAAAACTTGGTGAATTAAAACAACTGGTTGTGCTTTTTTTTATTTATTTTCTTGTGTTAGTAATAGTGAATATTAAAAATTTTGAATCTTCAAAAGAAGTTTGCTAAATTTTTCTTCTTAGTTTTATCATTCTTCTTTTTTGATACTTATATATATATATATATATATATATATATATATATATATATATTTTACATATATGTATAAATATATGTGCGACCTTATGTAAGCTCTTGTGTAAAATTTAACTCATATCCGTAAACGTTAAAACAAAGTTACAAAGTTATTATAAAACAGTTAATATACCTACACAACATGCACAACATGCGTGATCGACTGACATATATTTAAAAGAATCATAATGTTACCAGTGTCACATTCTAATTCTAATCATGTCCCTATCATACAGACCAAAATGTAATGCTGTTGATATTCCTGCAACTACTGATGTAGATTATTTCAATAGTATAGTGTAACCCGGGAAGAAAATAAACGGATTGATAATTCCATTTAAATTGTTAGTCTCAACAATATCTAATGAACAGCAAATATTCTTTAAAATATTTATTGTGTTTTTGCATTTTCTAATTATTTATTTTGTTTGATTAATGGGAACTCTGTTTCGGAGTGACACATCAAAACAAAAATTGTAAAACAATGATGATTAGTGATTCTTGTTAAACCGACAATGAATGTACTTTTTAGATAACATAGAAAACTATTCCAAAAAAAACCCAACCATTTACTGTTTTGATTTGTCTTTGACTTTTTTTCTGAAGATGTGTTTCGTACGCGTATAGGATTTTTCAGTAATCTTTTTCAAAAACAAAGAAAATACGTATGGAATCCAAATCTTTTTAGGGCTTTCCAGTAAGTGAACAGTATTTATACCATTGAGTTACAATTCCATATGTTACAGTTTTGGTTCCCCTTAATTCCATAATAAAACATGAAAATGATTTGAAAAAGTTAATGGATCACTGATTTCTTTTCAACATTTTTTAACTTCATCAGTTATAAACTTCCATAACGAATGATTCCAGCATTAACAAGAAAAGATTTATTTAAGCTTTTTAGTCCTTATGAATTTCTTAGTTGTGGTGAACTTCTGAAGGAAATCAACTTCAAGTTAAACTGATATCAATAAACGTCTCAATTAATAAATATTGACAAAATGTAAGTGGTTTGCTTTTAAGCCATACTCTTTCATTGATGGTAAAAAAAAATGCAAAATCAAACTTTACAATGTGATTGATACATAAAGACGAAATAGATTTCTATTAATTTTGTCACTAATTCCCCCTACTTTTCCACAAGACCAGTCAGTGGAATAACCTAAATTAATGACAACTTTTTGAATGCAAATGTATATATATATATATATATATATATAATTTCTATGGGGATAAATTTGCTCTCAAAGATAAATGATTACTTATTTTTAGACTGCTGCATTCTTTGTCTGTTACTGTGATCCAAAACTTTTGTATGATTTTCGTTTGCAAAAAAAAAATAAAAAACAAAAATGTGAATAACACTCATGAGGATAAAATATAATTTCCAAGCAGACTAGAACATAGAAAAGTATTTGAAATTAATGAATTTTTATGAAATTAGTTGTTTTTCATTATCAATTGACATTAGCTTAACTCTTCGTGAAATTAAATTACGTCTTGTTGTTTGGTTAATTTTTTGTCTTTCAGTCTGAAAATCATTTTGCAATGTAATGTGGTAAAGGATAGAGTTGAGAGTGTAAACTAATTTACTAAGTAATTAGTATGCATTTTATCAATTCACTTTTGATACCGATAGTCCTACTCTTTTAAATTTTAATCTCTTTTAACGATTTTTTAATAAGCAAAATTTATTTAAGTTGATTTTGTCTTTATACCTGTTGATATAAACAACAGTAAGAACTTATGAAAATTAGATATGCAGTGAAATATTCAATTTTATTTTGGAAATTGTTGATTTTCGAAAATAAATGCTTTTTTTCTTAACTAATCCGCATAAAACGAATTTACTTATAAATTATATCAAATTTGTATTATTAATCCGTTATCTGAATGATTTCCATAAATCACTACTGAAACTTCGAGTCTTGAAAACTTACTTCTTTTGACAGTGGTAACTTTTGGTACATACTAATCACCAATAATTAACGAACATGATAAATTTGGCGAAATTGTTAGATCAGTGACTAATGAGCACCAATAAAACTGATTTTATGTTCTGTGAATAATTGTTGATAAAAATATAGAATAGTTTTCTGGAAATGTCATGTTTTATCCCTTCACTTTCGAACTTACATTAACTGTACGCTCACAGGATGTACACAATTATATGCTTATTTGGATTGAATTTACTTACTAAAATCAAAAACCAACCAATTCTTGATCTCATAAAGTTAAGAAACCAAGCTTCCATCTAAGTTTATTTTACAGTAACCATTGTAATTATATGTCAGTTTTCAGACTTGTCTTTTATAGTAGCAAAAATAGATTGATTTCTGTTTTTACACGATAGAATATGCAATACGTCCGACTTTTTAATAACCAATTGTTAAATATAGCTTTTAAAATGCAAGTAAATTATCATTTCAAATTAGTCTTTTTAAAACGTACCCAATAGACGATTTACAGTTTTATTCAGGATTCCAGTTCCTTTCTAAATAAATATTTTCTTAAACTTATTAACAAAACTACATGATTATTTTACAGAACTTGTAGCAAACTACTTCACATTAAATTACTGGAACGTAACTTACTAGGAAATTATTTCCATTGACTTAAATGATTCAAATTTAATGGTTATCAGTTGCAACGATTCAATATTTCTTACCACACTGAATTTAGACTATTGAATACTGTACTTTTGTTCGAAATAATTATGATGGTCAAAAACGACAAATGCTGATGGAACAATAGCGGGATTCTTTGAGAAAATCATTTCATGCAATGTATTTAAATTTTACAGCTATCAAGATCATAGTGAATTACTAAATCAATGCAAAAATGATATAACCATCAATTTAACTAATTTGAAAAAGCTTAGTACATCTAATAATTGTGTGTGTATGTAAAATGAACAAAATGAAATTTGGAACTCAGTTAACTTGTGTCACGTACTGCATTTATGAAATGTGGAGTAAATTTGAATGAAGTTCAACTTCATAAAATGGTCACCACATTTGATTTAAAGATCAAATCAGTTCTTCGAAAGTAGTTATTGCAATGAAAATAAGGAAACAGGACTATTCATTTTAATCCATAATGGTTTGATTTATCCGCTTGTGGATAATTTGACTCAATTGTGATCAGTCTTAGTTGTCATATTTACGTTCGCTGCCGGTTTGCTTTGGTATATTCATTATTTCGCAAACCGACATATAATACATAGACTGTGACTATTGATGGAATCCATAACACGCGTGTCGGCCTACTTAACACCCATCAGTAGAATGCACCTGCATAAAAGAACTGACCTATACTTCAGGATTGGAATCGTGTACTTTTCGTCCCAATCAGGGATGCGTTATCTGAGTACCTATGGCCAACTGGCTTTAGACAGGACGAAACGTGCATCCAAAACTGTTCATTGGTTAATTTTGAAAGCCTTGTAACATATTTTTGACTAACAAATATTTCGATACAATCAACATCATAAATATTTAATAAGATAGAAACGAACCAAACTTGTCGAGGTAGTGATTAAAATTTAGTTGAATTGTTCTTTCGCTCTCTTCACTCAAAATCATTTGTTTCGTTTCTTATTTCAGTTTTAATGACGTCAGTAATATTATTCTAGTTAAATTGATTAGTTCAGTGATTGTGTTTCTTGCTTCCTTATATATATATATATATATATATATATATATATATATATATATATATATATATATATTTCTAGACAGTATCTTTATTATACAGTGCGAAAAGGTTGTCTAGACATAAACATTCACTGTTCAAAAAATATTTTCCTGATTTAATGAAAGTTAACTTTATATATGGAAATCATTAAATTTAAGATGAAGTCTAGGCTTCTAAGTTTTTATTCAGTTTATCAGTTATTTCCGATGAAAATTGCACATAAAGAAAACAGATTGCACAGTTACTTTAACAAGGTTTTATATCGGCGAAAATCATTAAAAACTAGCAATCAATTTTGTTTTTTCATAGATGATATCATGGAATAATCTTAACTAAACAACTACTCAAAATTAGGAGACAGTGAACATACTGGTTCGTACTAGTATGGGACTGATTAGTGTGAGCTATTACTAAAACGAAACAGTTATCCAGTGTAACCTGGTTGGTAATGCTTGTTAAACTATGATTAACCCGTGACATTAACTACGAAATTTAAAAAATCCCCATAAAACCCAATAGTAAGCGACTATTCTATTCAAATGACTGAAATGTTTGTTAGTAGTTATCGAATTTCCAGAAGATTCCGTGTTTTATGCATGAAACTTAAAAGTTTATATAAAGTTCAGCTATAATATGATCTGAACTTATATTCTTTTATATTGAGATTTGATTTTTAAATACAGGTGTATGACGAAACAACTTATTGCATAATTCAATAGTAAGTGCGCTGATTCATTGCAGAAACCATAATCAATTACAGGGATACAGACAATTTGAACTGCTCTATAGTATTTACATATATTACAAAATTCTAACAGATTGTAATTTAAAATGTTCATTGTGTTTCATGCATATACGTATAGACTTTTAAATGCAATTCATCCATTATTCATTATT